TTCGGCTCAAAGTAGGCTGTCTCCGGATGAGGCGATGTGTGTGCTTCGTGTGCTGCTTCGGCGGCGGACTCGGCCTGTTCCATTTCGTGTGTCCATATCTTTTTGGAGCTGTCACGGCTGCCGCGCGGGATGTGGCGCTCAGCTGCTCGTACGATGCCTCCGCGAGGATCCAACCATTTGGACGCGGTGGCAAGGAGGGTTTCACACAACGAGGTGGAAGCAGGCTAATCCGCTTTACGCAGGGCAAAGGTGGCTTTCTTCCGTCAAGGCAGCGTGTTTGCTAGTCGTGGAATGCCATCGTCCATCCCTACCGAATAAGATATTCAGCGGTGGTCCGAGTCCATGTAAGGGGCGGATGCCCAGTGGGAGATGCGTAGGGCGCAATACGCAGTCACGTCAGGGGACGAGGCATTACGATGTGTGATCCGTGTTGCCTGCGTCGGGTAATTTACCAGCCCAAAATCCATATCGATTAGAAAAGCGGCGAAATTATCGCCTCCAGTCCTTGATGGTGTATATGACTGTCCCAGAGTTCACGATGCAAATTCAGGTCACCCGCGATAATCTCTTCGGGCACAAGCGACAAACGATATTGATAGATGCGGATTATTGGCCAATTGCTGTGGGAGGGTTGTAGAGATTCACCATGCAATGCTGGAACAGCCCGGTGGAAATGCACGGACAGCAATGGTCTCCAGGAGGTCAGAGCCAGGGAGCGACAGGCGCTCGCACGGTAGAGAGTGGCGCACCAGAACGGCAACGCCACCACCGCGCCCAGTGAGGCCAGAAGGCAGTCATTATGGCCAGATAATTTCGTCGCTACGTCACCACGGTTACTTATTTCCTGAAGAAGAACAATGTCAGGTGGACGCTGCTCCAATCGCGTCGCAAATGCAATATTTTTACGAACGAGAGGCCTGCAATGTTAAGCCGCCAAATGTTGATGAAGCCATCCTCCTCGGTGCCAGGGTTCTTGTGGACGTCACTGCCACGGGTGATATCAACGGAGTGACCGCTGCGAAACGGTCGTGCAGTTTTGCCCGGCAGTCTGCAGGCAGACCGCCTCACCTCCCCGCGCCGGGCATGGCGTGGAACCTTCTCGAGGGGTGGAGTCACCTTGGTCTCCGTCGTGCTCGCGGCAACGCCCTGCTGCGGAGTGATTATGCGCAGCCAAAGCCCGACACCGCGACAAGGTGCGACTTCATCGCTGAGAACCGTGGATGCTTACGAAGAAGGGCGGTGTCGGCATTCCCGGCCCCGGCGGGATTGGCATACCGCTCTCATCCCCTCAACTCGTCGGAGATAATAGAAAAGGCCAGCATAAACTGCGGTGCACGCCCATGCAGCTACAGGACGGAATCCCGCGCGCTGCATCTAGCCCTAGAGAAGCTGATGAATCCTCGTATCCGCCACAGGCATAAAACCCTGCTTGTGGTTACGGACAGTCGGTCTCTTCTAGCGGCTCTAAACAAGGGCCCGCTCAGTCAGACAGACTGGACGGAGGATCAGATCTGGCAGCGTCTCTTGACACTGACGCGTGCTGGCTGGTCCGTGCACCTGCAGTTTTGTTACGGACATTGCGGAGTACATGCTAACGAGCTTGCAGATCAGTATGCGACGCAGACTATGGCAACCGGACAATACACGGAGCAAGGAATCGCACCTTTGTGGCATACGGATCTGCTGACATGTTTTACTACCCAGCTCACCAACAAGTGGCGTAGTACCATTCGTCAAGACACTCATCGCTACTTGCTTTGCGGCACAAGGCCACCAGATCTCAGCGGTAAGGACCTGATCACTCAGGAGGTTCTACACCGTCAGGAACTGGTTCACCTCGAAAGGGCAAGGTGCGGGGAATCTGAGCTCTGGGGCCGACTATACTGGGCCGTGAGAGATTGCACAAACCAATGCCGATTCTGCAACATCTCACCGGAACAGTCTGCATATATGCGCTCTAACAACGATCCGACCGCACCGGGGACGGACACTGTTCCCCCGTCGGCGAGGGAGGAAGACGTCTCTCCAGTAAGGAGACGGACCCTCACACGCCGTCGGAAGGAGAAATGTCCGCACTGTGATTCCACATTGACGGGATTCTCGGGTCTCGTCAGTCACTGTCGGTCATTTCATCCGGAACATCCTCCACCGCTTCCCGAGCTCAAGTGCGATTTCTGTGACATGGTTTTCCCCACACGGAGAAGCACCGCACAGCACAGAAGTCGCTGCGCACACAACCCAGACGCCACACGGCATCGGAACAGCAGTGCCAGGAGGCGATCTCTGCTGCCGCAGGATCAGCCAGCTTCCACAAGCACGCCAATCGGCCCGCAGGAAACCTTGCACCATCTGCTTCCAGAATGTCCAGGCACCTTGGCTGTGCGTCAACGGCTGGGCATTGAACAGGACCTCCGCATCGGAAAGTTCTCTCAATGGCAGTTGCTTCATAGCAGGAAGCTTTTGTCGTTGCTCGACCACCTCTTCGGCACCCAGATGGCATTGTATAGCTAGACGCGCTGGTAAGAGTATAGGGAATATTCGTCCGGGCCGCTGTCCGGACCTTGCGGTTGTCAATAGGAGCCGCGCAAGACGGGAATGAGAAGGAGGGAAAGGAATGGGGACGGGGTTCGCCAGATCCTCGATAAGCGTTTACACCAGTTGAGTGCATATTTATGTGTGCGCATTGTGGTGGCCACTGTCGCGGCGTGATCCCTCCATCCGGGTTGGGAGTATATATATATCGGCGTGTGTGCCTTAATAACTCACGAGGTGGCGGATTTTGGGCTCTCCCAGCCGCAAGACCACGCCGCAGGGTGAGGATCACAAAGCGGGCGGGCGGGACGGCACATACAGAAATGGAGGCGATGAAGTTTTCAGAAGGTCGTTTAACGTTTTTTTTTTCTAAAGTTTTTTCTCCACGTGAAAAGAATTTTTGTTTGAAGAGGAGAAATTTATTGTGAGAGAGTGGGGTTTAAAAGAAGCGTAACAAAATTTGTTTCCTTTCCTTTTTATTATATTTACTTTGACAAGGGTGTTTGTAAGGCGTGAGGGGAATTTCGCTATTGAGTGAAAATTAGTTAAACTTTTGGCACTGCCTCATTTAGCTCGTATTATTTTTATTGTCTTTTAAAATTGACGACCAACTTTACAAAGGCAATAAGATGAAAAAAGAATTGCTTAAAGAGCATGTAAAACAAACAAACAAAAAAAAGAAACATCAAAACAACAACAACAAAAAACATCCACATTTAGTTGACAGTTGTGGAATATGTTATTCTTGATTTTCTTAAATTATATTTGTTTGTGCGCTGACAGCGCACTTTTTTTTGCATCTGGTTGCATTTAAGGTGAAAATATTTTTGCATGGCACTGTGTGATTTGCCATGAACTTTAAGTTAAGGGTACTCTTTTGGCTATTTTTTGCTTTGCAAGGTTTTGATTATACACTGCTTCACGTATAATAGTTTTTTCCAATCGTAATGGCGATTGTTGTAACCTAATTGAAGATAAAATGTTTTTATGCGAATCAAGGAATTTCTTTTTATTTATTTATATAAATTTTTGTCTTCTATTTATTTACACACACACACTCTATATATATATATATATTTCCCCTCTCAAACTAAGAGAAGATACTGTCATTGGGAGTTGGGTGAACTCATGTTGTCATGTGGAGTTTGCGCCATACTCTTTCTGGGCGGGTACATCATGGGAGCTGGGATAATGGTCCGTGTATTTCCGCTCCGGCCCACTGGGGAGAGAGAACTTCTTAAAGAGCGTTTTCCTTATCCCGTAACGAAAATTGCTCATAGAGGTGGCAGCTTGATCGGCCCAGAGAATACCATTTATACCTTTGGCCGTGCAATAAGCGTGGGTAACGCTGACATGTTGGAATTGGATGTTCGCCAATCAAGAGATGGTGAAATTGTTGTTTCTCATGATGCAGCTCTCCTAAGGACTTGTGGGAGTTTTCATGAAGAGAAAAACGTGTTTGATATTGTTGTGGATGGGAATCCAAACAAGACTCTACCCCAGTCGCTAAGAGAAATTCCAATTCATTTTGAGTCCCCTCAAAGAGGAGGATGCTATAAAGCTACAGACTCTGTTCCAGTGGATGAGACGACGCGTCTATGTCTATTATCGGAAGTTTTTGATGCGTTTCCGGATGTTCCTCTTCACATAGATATCAAATCGGAAGGCGCGGAAATCACAAAAAAAGTGTTGAAATTGATCGAGTGATACGGCCGGGAGACGAAAACTTTGGTTGGAACTAGTAATTGGCGTAATCGTAAACACATCTACGATTACTTTGTATCAGGGCATTTATCAGAAAGTGAGCGTCTGCTGAAAAAAAGAAAGCGTTTTCGGATTTTTGCGGGACCCATGGACTGTTTTTTTGTTTATGTGGCCTATGTTCTTGGTGTGCTTCCTCTGGTTCCCTTAGCATTTGATGTGTTTTCTATTCCAGTTTTTACCAAATGCAAACTGAAAGCGCTAGGCTCTTGCTTTACACGTTTTATTGCCTATTTTGTGAACTCACCTGTGCTGTGGAAACATTTGCAGCGACGAGGTATTCTTGTTTTGGGTTGGGTGCTGAATGACGATGAGGAGTTTGAAGAGGCGTCTAACTGGCCTATCAATGGCATTATTTCCGATGATCCTATCGCTTTAGATGCATTTTTTAAGTCGAGGGAGATGCCAACAGCGATGAATATCTTATAATAATATTTAATTTATTGTTGAATCATTTTTTTCTCTGTGTGTGGTGATTCCACTGCGTTGGGCAATCTTTGTTAGCTGTTTTGTAAAATGATGAGAGATTGAGGTGTATGACTTTTTAAAATCAACCGCACTGATTTCACGGTTGCTGATCTTTTCTCCGTATTGCTTTTGGCTACTCTTTTTTTAAATTTCCCTAAAAAACGATTTAAAGAGATTTTTCAGGCAATAAATCTCAATCATATGTAAGTGGTCTGTGATAGTCAATACATTTTGGAAGGATGCGCCAAATATTTCTTTTTTTTGCAGGGGCACTTTTTTCTTTATCTTGTTTTGCTTTTGCAGATGGGTTTATCATTGCGAAGCGGACGGGGGTTCCGTACAACTTTTTGATGTGGTTACCTGCAATTATGGTCATCGTAGGTATGTTTCTTTTTAGAGTCACGAATGCAACGGTACTTGTGGACACTGATAATTTACTTGACGATAAGGGATCGCGGCGCGAAAAGGTGCTTTTCTTCATTGGCGCATTGTTGACAGTTGGTGGGTGTGCGGTCGCCCTCTGGAAGGCGATCAACCCTTATTCTAATCTGGACGACGCATGGCCTGGAGTTTTTCTGGTAGTCCAAAGTTTACTCCTGACTCTTTGCTCCGGGATCCTTTTTTTTGTCCGGTTGCAGCGTGAGGATGATTGGGTTTGAATTGGTGTTGTGACTATTGGATATTTGCTGTTCTCACGGTGATTGACTTGGGATCGACCCCCCAGAGACACCGGCTGCGATGATCGGTTGTCCCTGGCGATGCCTGTCTCATAAATTTGATGCCATGGAAAATTACCCCGTATTTTCAGGGGAAACCAGGAGCCAGCAATGTTTTCCTCACGGGGTCATTGTTGTTTTTGTTCTTGGGACAGGGCTGACAGCATTGGCCACGGCCCGGACCAGCCGCGTCTTGCCGGGAAATAGTTTTAGCACCAAGAGGTCTAACGGCATGGTAACCACGTTTTTTCATTGATAGCCTGACTTTTATGCGCTTTCTTACTTCCTTTTTAACAGTCTTAAAGCGTTACCTTTTTTTTTCTTTTTAAATCTTGTTTTCTCGTGTTATGTATATATAAGGTCAAAATGCCGGGTGATCCTTCTCATGTAAATGCGGAGCGTCTTAAGGAACTGCGAGTGGCTGTTCACAAATTCTTACAAGATTCAAATGTCTATTCTAAAATTCGTGATATTGTAGACTCTTATGTTGCCGAAAATCCAGGAGACTCATCAAATCCAGCTTCCTCTGCTGATGTGATGAAGATTATCCGAGAAAAAGGACTGGTTCAAGATTTACTAAATCGGTTACGCGGCGAGAAAAGTCCGGGTATTGTGCAGACTCCAAACAAGGCTCTTTCATGGAAGCTTCTTCCGGGTGAGTACTACCTTCATCTTCGACTGGCTGGTGGGAAAGCATTTGTTGACAACTTGGACCTTACTCCAAGTTTCGCTAAAGACTATCAGATGTACGTTGCGGTACACTTTGGGTCACAACGATACCGATCGAATTTGGAGGATGTTTCTTTGGATCCTCCTTTTAGAGATGAGTTCCTTATAGATCTTGATTATAAATCATTTGGGTCTTGTGCCGCAGACTTGATAGAGGTTTCAACTCCACTACATATAGCCGTTTTTAGAGAGGAACGTCTTTTAACGTTTTCCAAGATGGTTGGAGAAAATATTGTTGACTGGAGAAAGGTTTTACGCACAGGCTACCTTGGTTTAACTGTTGAACTTTGTGGAGATAACCCAGGTATTCCTGCTGGTATATTAGAGTTACAATTGGAGTTATTGCCTAATAAGGCTCCTCGGTTTTCAGAAGAGGATGTTGCATCCAGAATCGATTTGCAGCGTTCTGCAATCACTTCGGCTGACCGTGAGTTTCTTTTGTACGCACGTCGTTGGTGGATGGAGTTTCAAGACATTCGACCCACACATAAGCAAAGAAAAATAAAAGTGTTTG